CTCCCTCTCTGAGGTACGGAGGGGCTCCCCACCTCCGCGCTCCCTCTCTGAGGTACCACAGGCAGGCAGCCCTTACTTAGCTCACTGATGAACCCTGTCCCATGGCCTTCCTCTCCACGCAGTGACTCACCTGTAGCCTTTGCTGTTCCGACTCCCTCTCTAGGACAGAGGCTTGCAGGATCATGGCTATCTCCTGCAGACTGCTGATGCTGGCCTTGCTCTGGGCCAGGGACAGTGCCAAGTCCTGAGCCTTCTCCCTCCATTCGATCTCCCTGGCCTCCGTCTGCCTCAGGGCATTCTGCAGTCGCTCCAGCTCCTGCTGCACTGGGGGCAGTTGTGGAGTTGGCTTCTCCACCGGGAAGACTCTGCGGCTTGGGGAAGAGGCCTCCAGACTCTGCCTTTGCTGGGCCTCCCTCAGCATCAAAATCTCTTCTTCCTTTTGGGCTAGAGCCAGCTGTAGCTCCCTTAGGCTCTCCACAAGGCCCCCCGCCTCCTCTCCTCTCTCTCGCTCCAGACTTTGCTTCTCTTGGATCCCACTGTCTTGACTCCGCTGGGCCAGCGCCTTTTCCAGCAGCTGCCCCTGCTCTTCCTGCTGCCTCAGCTCTTCCTCCTTCTGGGAAAGGGCCTGCTGGAGCTGCTGCATAACCTCCTGGTGTTGGAGAGCCTGGGCCTGGATCTCACCTTCTCGCATCCTCAGGGCCTCCTCCAGCTGCTGGGCACGTGCCTGGCAGGTGTCCAGGGTAGCCTGCAAGGTGGTAGTGCTGGCCTCCAGCGTGCAGCTCAGTTCAGCTTGCTCAAGGAGACTCTGCTCTTTGTCCTGCAGGGCAGCCTGGGCCTTGCTGAGGGCCTGCTGCAGAGCCTCCGCCTGGGCCCACGCAGCATCCTCCTGGTGGCGGGAATACTGATTCTCTGCCCGCAGGGCGGCCAGCTCTTGTTCTTGTTCTGTAAGTTTGGCCTGGGCCTGCAGCCAGCTGTCCTGCAGGGCCCTGGCTTCGGCCTCGTGCTCCTGGGCCTGTTCAGCACACCGCTGGTGAAGGGCCAGCACGGCCTTCTCGTGCTCCCGAGACTCGGCCCTTAGGTCTCCCAGCACCTCCTCCAGGGCCCGAACCTGCCGCCCCTCCGCTGCCAGCTCTTCCTGGAGCCTCTGCACCTGGTCCTTGTGCTCCTCCAGCTCCCCCTGACGCTCCTGCAGTGTCACCTGGGCCTGCTCCAGAGCGGCCTGCAGAGCACTTGTCTTTTGCTTCATGCTTTCCTCCTGGCCCCGGGCCTGCTGCTGTTCTTGCTGAAGGGCCTCCAGTTCTTGGTCCCTCTGGGCCAGAGCTCTCTGGGCCTCCTCCAGCTGACCCTGAAGCGCCTGCTCTTTCAGCTCTCCTTGTTCCTCGGCTTCCTGGAGGTGCCGCTGCAGGGTGGCTAGCTCCTGCTCTCGATGGCTCAGGAGCAGGCTAGTCTCACCCACCTTCCTGTGCAGGCCTTGGAGCTGCTGTTCCAGCTGGCCCGTGTGCTCCTGAAGTTCCTGGATGCGCTCCTGCTGGCATTCTACCTCCTTCTCCTTCTCCCGCAGGATCAGCTTCAAGTGCTCCAGGCTCCCACGCTGGGCTTTGCTAGGGCTCTTCCCATCGTCTGGCCGCTCGTGCATCAGCTGCCGCTGAGAGGCCAGCTCCTGGCCGCGTTCCCTCAAGGAATGCTTGATCTGTTCCAGGTCCTCCTCTAAGATCTTGGTCTGCAGCGTCCTCTGCTCTTCCAGAACCTGAATCCTCTCCTTCTGCAGCATCAGCTCCTGGTCCTTCCTCTCCAGGTCCTGAGCCAGCTGCTCTTTCTGCTTCTGCAGTTCCTTCAGCTGCTGGCGCTGGGCCTTCACCTCCTGGTCCCTCTCCTGCAGCTCTCTCGCCAGATGGCTGCCGTGGCTCTCCAGCTCCTGGAGCTTGTCGCTCTGTGCCTGCAGCTCCTGGCTCCTCTCTTCCAGGTCCAGTGTGAGGTGGGTCAGAGCTGCCCTCTGCATCTCCCTCTGGCCCTCCAGCTCTGCAATCAGCTGCTGCTGGCCCTCCACTTTGTGATGGCTTTCCTCCAGTTCCAGGGCCAGGCACTCGAGTGTCACCAGCTGCTTCTTCAGATCCTGAATCTGCCCCCTCTGGGATTCAATCACTTGAGCCTTCTTCTCCAGTTCCAGGAGCTGATGTTCCAGGACACTCCTCTGGGTCTCCCGATCTTTCTCCAGTTCTCTGATCTGGTCCCGCTGCACACTCAGCTTCTGCTCCCGCTCCTGGACGGCCATGGGCAGGTGCTCTAAGACCGACCTGCACTTCTCCAGCTCCTGAATCTGTTCTTGCTGCAGCTCTACCTCTTGGCTCCGCTGCTTCAGGTCCAGGGAGAGCAGCTCCAGAGCCGCCTTCTGCATTTCGCGCTGCTTCTCCAGGTCCCGGATCTCGGCCTGCAGCGTCTCCACCTCCCGTTCTCTGTTAGTCAGGGTCTGGGCCAGCAGGGCCAGGTTCTCCTGCAAAGCTTTCCCCTGGGCCACCTTCAGCTCGCCCTGCTCTTGCAAAGCCTGGGCTCTCTCCCGCTCACTCTCCACCTCCTCGTTCTTCAGTTTCAGTGCTGAGCGCGCCGTTCGCAGATCTTCTTCCAGGACACCGGCCGCACTTGCCTGAGCCTGGGCTTCTGCAACACATGTTTGCAGATGTTCAACCTGGGCTGTCAGCTTCTCCTTGGATGCCTGCAGCAACTCTTGCTCATTCTGGAAGCAAGAGGCAAAATGCTTTAAGACAAGATTATTTCCTTTTTTTTTTTTTTTTTGGTCTTTTGAGATAGGGTTTCTCTGTGTAGCCCTGGCTGTCCTGGAACTTACTTTGTAGACCAGGCTGGCCTTGAACTCAGAGAGCTGCCTGCCTCTGTGCTGGGATAAAGGCGTGCACCACCACCACCTGGCCAAGATTATTTTCTTGATGCTGTCACTCTTACACTGGCCTCTTCTTTTGTGGCACCATCAGTGTGACCAGGCCTTAAGAAGGACCGAAGAGTTGGGCTGGAGAGATGGCTCAGAGGTTAAGAGCATCGACTGCTCTTCCAGAGGTCCTGAGTTCAATTCCCAGCACCCACATGGTGGCTCACAGCCATCTATAATGAGATCTGGTGCCCTCTTCTGTATACATAATAAATAAATCAATCTTTTAAAAAAAAAAAAAAAAAAAAGAAGGACCGAAGAGTGATATATTCCACTTAAGCTGATTCTATACAAGAGTGTCCCTACAACCTTCTAGAGCTCCTCTGTGTCCAGGGAAGACAGCCTGGTGCAAAGAGGCATTCTAGACCCTGATCTTGCAGATCAAGGAATCTTTTTCAGAAAAGTAATTAGGTGAAGGTTCACCATGACCTTACTAATGGGAAGGCGGGAAGAGTCATGGGACTCTGAGACTTGCTGAAGGAAGCCAGGCATGTGAGCACAGGCCACAGTGGGTCTGAGAGGCAGAACCTTGAACTCTAAACACAACTCCTGAGGCACTCTTCCCCAGACCGGCCCTTTACCTGAGCTTCCATTTTCTGTAGCTCCGCCTGCCGCAGGCGACTCTGTAAGGATGCCACAGTCTCGTGCAAGTCCCTCAGCTCAGACTCCAGGGCGTTCTGTTTCCCTTCCCACTGGGATTTCTCTTTGAAAAGAGCAGAGATGTCGGAGTCAGGTGCATGGTCGCAGGTGGGAGAACACAGGGGTGTAGAGGCAGATGGAGGACGGGGATCAGAACCCAAGGGGAACAAGGCCAAGGAGGAGAAAATGACACCCGGTGTCCTGTGCCATCCCTGCCTGCCAGAGCTGCTTCCAGCCTCACGCCTGTGTGCTGCGAGCCCCGGCACAGCTGCTAACCATCCTGCACTCCTCATCCTGACCTCCCAGGGCCCCTCAGATGAGTTCTCCAGACAAGACAGCAGGGCCCCTCCTAGCCCCAAATTATATGAGTTTGCAGGAGGTTCCTGGAGGCCCTCAAGTCTGAAGACACCCAGAGGCAGCTGTTCGGATGGACCTCAGGGAGAAAAGGCTCACCTCCTTCCTTCTGCAATAGAACTTCAAAAGGGCACAGTCTCGAGGCGCCTTTCCTTTGCAAGTGGTGCCCACCCCTCCAAGCCCTTGGCAGAGGGACATGACAGTATGTTCTTCCCGAGTCCCCTTCCTGGCCTTCTCACAGGAAGTTTGTAATCCTTTTGTCCTCAAAGGCTAATTTTGAGGGTATAGTGGGAAATGATAAAAATAAGTAACACGGATAAATGATGAAAGAAACACTATTTTATGTTCTGATAGTTCTGGCCCAGGGTCACCAGGATTTCATGCTTGGAAAAAAAAAATCCTTTGCATGGGCTGGTGAGATGGCTCTCACTATCACACCTGACTGCCTGAGTTGGATCCGTGGGGAACCTATTGATAGAAGACGAGAACTGATTTCCACAAATTGCCCTCTGACATCTATGTGTGCCACGGCATACACACGTCACACACACACACACACACAGAGAGAGAGAGAGAGAGAGAGAGAGAGAGTAAATGCAATTTTAACAATTAAAAAGCAAAAACAAAAACAAGTCCCTGCAGAGACTAACAGCAGGCCAGACAACAACTTCTATCAGTTTCTAAGCTGTTTCCTCCTAACTCCTTCTTCCAGGATGGCCCACAAAAGCCAAGCAAAGTGAACAAGGGTTGAAGAGGCTCATCCGCCCTCACAGGTGCCTTAGCTAGTCCCCCCGTTCCTGTCCCCACCTGCTCTTGCCTCCTCTCAGCCTGCTCCCCTAGCATCTCACCTTCCTGGCTCTGGGAGAGCTGTTTCTCCAAGTCCTGCATCTCGGAGCGGACCTGGCTCTTCTGGGCCTCAGAATCAGTCAGCTGCTGTGTCAGCCTCTGGATCTGGTCCCTTAGGTCATCCTGGGAAAGGAAGGGCGGGGTTGAGCTCATGCTCTCTGGAGCCCAAACTCTGCCCACACTCCGAAGGCCCTGCCATCAAGACCCTACTCTCTAAACCAGTTCTCAATCTTCCTAACACTGCGACCCTTGAATACAGTTCCTCATGCTGCGGTGACCCCGACCAGACAATTATTTTTGTTGTTACTTCATAACTGTAATTTTGCTATTGTTATGAGTTGTAAATATGATATGCAACCCCTGTGAAAAGGTCGTTTGACAACCAAAGGGTTGCGACCCACAGTTGAGAACCACTGCTCTAAACTCTATGTATTTAGTCCCCTGCAGGGAGGGGAACCTGAGGGCCCCCTCTGGCCTATGTTTTTGTTGTTATTTCAGACAGTCTCATGCAGCCCAGGCTGATCTTAGTGGCTACAAAATGTAGGCTAGTCTTGAACTCCTGCTCATCCTCCTGCCTCCACCTCCCAAGTGCTGGGATTACAGACATTTGAGGCCCCATACCTGGTATCTGCCCAAATATTTTATATATAAAATAAACCTTTTATTTTTATTTCTTTGCGGGGTGGAGGACAAGGACTCAATATACAACTCAGGCTAGTCTCAAATTCTCAATCCTCCTGCCTCAGCCTCCTGAGTGCTGGGACCACAGGCATGTGCCACTGCACCTGGATTATTTCTTTTGGAATAACGGCTCAGTGTCCTATTCCAGGCCACACTCCTTCTCTCCCAAGAGCCTCCTTCAGAGTTCAGAAGCCCACCTCTTCCCCATGGCGTTCCTCCCAGTCCCAACTGTGCTCTAGCTGTGTCGGAGGTGGTCCTTCTGTCGGCTCCACCCTGGAGGGCTCTGACGGCAGGCTGGGTCTTATGTCTTTGTATCACCAGCTCCAGTGGCTGGCGCACTGGCAGCTCTCAGCACTGACTAGCAGGTTCACAGTGAGGTGGAGTTAGCTCAGTCTCAGGCCTAGGATGTTCTTGTAAACAGTGACTTCAAATTTCAATGCTCCCCAGCTTACCTGACTTCCCTCAGAGGATCTGGCGCTAAGACTAAATTCTCGGATGAGAAATGATATTCAACAAAACCCATGTGCTGTGCTGAAGGGTTCCAGTTCCCAGGGCTCCCTCAAGACTCCTGCTCACAGCAGTGGGGTGTGGGGTGCGGTGTGACGGCAGGGTGCAGGGGAAGGAGAAGCATCATCTGCCCTGCTCACAGCAGTGGGGTGTGGAGTGGGGTGTGACGGCAGGGTGGCAGGGGAGGGAGAAGCATCATCTGCCCTGCTTTTCGGGTGAACACAAGGCTCAGGAACTCCAAATGCTTCAGCCATGTTTGCAGGGCAGTAAGCGCACAGGAGGAATGACGGGGCAGAGCTCGGAGTGAGGATCCTTCGACCCTTCTTCCTCCACGTTACACATCTGTTTGAGCGGCTCGGGAGGAAGGAGGAGGAAGGAGGAGGGAGGAGGAGGGCAGAGAACATACCCGGGCCTGCTGAGCCTTCCACAGGTCTTGATGAAGCTTCTGGAGAGCCAATGCTACAGCCTCAGTTGACAGCGCAGTCAGGAGGGGCCCTTTCTTAAAGAGTCTCCTAGCTCCATTCTGATCTGAAGAAAAGAGGAAAAGTCTTCTCACCTGGCTGCCACAATAAGCAGCAGTCATCTCTCCCCAGACAGGGCCTTGGCCTTCCTGCTGGCTCCCTCTCTCCGAAGAATCCCTTCTCGGTGGTTCATTCGTACACCTTCCATTAGAGCAGTGGTTCTCAACCTTCCTAAGGCTGTGGCCCTTTAATACAGTTCCTCATCTTGTGGAAACCCCAACCATACAATTATTTCGTTGCTAGTTCATAACTGCAATTTAGTGCTGTTATGAATTGTGACGTAAATATCTGATACTCGACTCCAGGGAAAAGGTCACTCAACCCTCAAAGGGTTCGCCACAGGTGAGAACTGCTGCATCAGATAATGCTGGCTGTCGGCTGCTATGCTCTCAAGTGCAAGCCGTAAAAATTTTTTTTTTTTTTTTTTTTTGGTTTTTCGAGACAGGGTTTCTCTGTGTAGCTTTGGAGCCTGTTCTGGATCTTGCTCTCTAGACCAGGCTGGCCTTGAACTCACAAAGATCCGCTTGCCTCTGCCTCCCGAGTGCTGGGATTAAAGGCATGTGCAATCACCGCCCGACCGTAAATTGTTTTCTTACCATTTTTTTTTTGTTTGTTTTTTAAAAGATAGGATATATGAAGCCCAAGCTGGCCTGGAATTTACTATGTACTTGAGGATGACTCTGCACCCTTAATCCTCCTGTCCCAACTCCCACCCCAAGCAGGTACTATCATGCCTAGCAACTCACTATGTAGCTCAGGCTGGAGGAACTTAATTTCTACAGTGCCCTGAGTGCTAGGGTTATAGGCAGGCACCCCATATTTGGCCTAGCTCTTTATGTCTACAATCCCAGAAAAAGTCTAAGACGGGACTTTTAACACTTCCATTTTATAGTCAAGAAAAACCATGTTCAGAGAAGTTAGGTGGCTAGCCTGAACCACGATCTGTTCAGGTTACCTGGGATCAGCTGCAGCATCCATGCCTTAACCTTGATGCTATTTTACAAGAGGAACTACATTCCCTTCCCTTTTCCCGGGCTTTGGCCCACAAGACTTAGCTCTCATCTGGCTTCTCACCTGGCTCAGGGCCCCACAGGGAAGCAGCAGAGTCGCCCCCGCCCCTCAGCTCAGGCCGGCTCTCCCACGCAGACCCCAGGGCCTGCTGCAGGACAGAGCAGAGGCTAGCCAGCTGGGCCTGGGCCTGGGTCTCTGGCTGCGCTTCTGCAGCCAGTGCCTCCAGCTGGCTCTCCGTGCTGCGCAGCTGCAGCTGCAGTTGGGTTGCCTTGGCCTCCTGGGTCCACAAAGAAGCTCGCAGCTGCTGCTCTGTGATCCGGGAGGCCTCCAGCTCCTCCAGCAGCTGCGCTTCCCGGGCTACAAAGTCAGCCTCCTTTTCCTTCACCTCCTGCCTCAGTAGTTCCACCTGCCAGGAGGAAGGAGACTCCATGAGCAAGTGGCACCCTCTCCTCAACTCTCCGGCTCCTGACCCAGACGGGGAGAAGTCGGGCAGGCTCAGCTCTGCAGCAGGCAGCAGGGCCCTGAAATGAGTAGCTCTGACTACTGGGGGTGACCAATACCCGACACAAGGACCCAGGCTACGATACAGGTCCTGGCCTCGTTCCCAGGCAGACAGATAGGCCAGCCCCTGCTGCCGTTAGAACTCTGCCCTGAAACCTCGACATGGAGCTAGTCAGACTGCCCAAGCCCTTCTCTCTCCTTCCCAAGTCCATCTTCCCTCCAGGCTCAGGTCCAGGTCTCGGCGAGCGAGCTGAGGACGGAAGTCCTTGCAGGTCGGGTATCTGTTGATGCCCTCCAAGTTCCCCTGCTGTATTTTGCCAGCCAGGTAAAACACACTTGCAAGAGCTTCTGCATGAATCAGGCCCACAGGGGCACTCTGAACACTCTGTTCGGGATGTCAGGCTCCCCACAGGGGACATCGCTCATCTCTGGGTCAGGTGCCCACCTGGCCTGCCCAGCCCTGCTTTTCCCCTACTGTTTCTGTCCTGTCTTAGGACAGAAACAATCCACCCAGCCCATCTACGAGCATCCTCACCAGAAAGCCAGGCTCAGGCATAGTGGGTACCTGCAGACCGAGCTCTCTCTGCCCCTCCTGGGCCTCCTGTATGTCCTGGCGCAGGGAATTCAGCTCCTGCTGTCGGACAGAGTCAGCTTCTTGCAGAGCAAGGAGTCTTCCTTCCTTTTCCACTAGCGACAGTGCCAGGCTGAAACAGAGGGTGGAGAGGTGGGTCATTCTCTCAGGGGGCGAGAGCATGCTCTATCGACTGTTCTAATCATAGCACTGCTTGTTAAAACAAACAGTAATGGTGACTAGAGTCAGTAAAAACTATACCAGTAAGGACTCCTAGGAACTTCATACATATGAGGACTCATTTCAGCTCAAATTTATTCTTCTCTGATAAAGTCCACACATAGATATTCACGTATTTCAAATTCACTAGACCCAAACTTGCCATCCCTCTGAGCCCCCATCCCCCACCCACTGTCCCCTGGCTCTGTGAGTGACCTTTCATCTACGGTGTCACAGCACGGAAGCCATGAGCATTTCAGTCCCCTTCATCCTACCCACATCCCATCTCTGACTATACGACTCTCTTAAGCTCCTCTCTTCCTCCTTTCCCTACTCCTTACCATGGAGAGCGCAGTCGCTCTCGTCTGGATACCTACACCAGCCTCCTGACTTGTCTTTAGCACTCAGTTGTCACCATCAGAAAGATTCATCCCTTCTCAGACCCCTAGGGCACGGAGTGGATGCTGCTCCCCACTGTGAATGGGCTCGTGCCATCCATGTTCCAGGCCAGTACTATCCCTTCTAACTCACCAGCAATCTGATGATGTGGATTTCCTTAGTTTCCTGCTGAATGTAACCCACAAGCCCCTTGCTATGGACTTCAGTAAACAGGAGCTATACCTCCATCTGGCCTCACCAAACACGGCATGCTTTCATTTGCCTCAGGGCTTCTCCTCTGACTGAACAGAACTCTCTTCGCTTGCATGGGTGGCCCCATTTCATCTTTCAGCCTTCTGTTTGTTTATTTATTTACTGTGTGTGTAGAGGGGCATGTGGAGGTCAGAGGACAACCTTCAGGAGTGGGTGGGTCCTCTCCTTCCATCATGTGGCTCCTGAAGATTGAACTCAGGTCGGCAGGCTTGGGAGCAAGCATGCTTACCAGCTGAAGCATCTCGCCAGCCCTAGTATTCCGTTTATTTATTTTTAATCTTTTTGTTGTTGTTTTTGTTTTGCTTTTTTAAAGATAGGGTTTCTCTGTGTAGCCCTGGCTGTCCTGGAATTCACTTTGTAGACCTGGCCAGCCTCAGAGAGCCACCTGCCTCTGCCTCCTGAGTGCTGGGAGTAAAGGTGTGAGCCACTAGATCTGGCTTAGCACTCAGTTTAAACACAACTTCCTGGGAAAGAGTTTCCCTACATCTTTCTAAAGCAGTTTTCTCTCTCTCAGCACCTTGTCTCTTTCCTCCACTCCATATGTGATAATCTGTAACAATTTGTTTAAAAATTTATTGATGAAAACATTCCCCACAGAATATAATTCTATTGAGGCAGGGACCATATTGTCATAAGACAATGGTACATAAATGGTCTTCTCTAAATACTTACTAAACGAAACAAGTATAAGATCTGAAGCAGAGGCCAAGTCCACTCCAGATGGCTACATGTGTACCCCAGAGTGAGACACGGTGAGGTAACCTTGCACAGAACAGTCAAGGCACTGTGACTACGCCTGAAGACAAGCCACCCTCGGGCTGTCTAGCTTACCTGGCTTTCTCTTTCTCCAGTTCCTTCTGGATCCGGCTACATTCCTGAGCTTCTTTCACCTTCTCCTGAATCTCTAGTTTCACCAGCCTGTGGGAGTCATCCTGGGTTACCAGCTGCGACTTCAAGTCCTCCACCTGGAAGGTTAAGAGCATGAGGCTGAGACGACAAAGCGCACGAGCCAAGTGGGAGCATGCTTCTAGTCTAGGCCGTCAGGCTCCTGGAAGCCATACTAGTCGGTGGTCCGTCTCCACAGTTATGAGGTCTCACTCATCCCTACACTAGTTTTGTTTTCTTTTTTACACTTATTGTGTATGTTCACACTCAAACACACGCCACAACATGTTTGTGCAGGTCAGCAGACAATTTGTAGAAGATGGTTCTGAATAACAAACTGCACACCACATGCACACATACACACACCATTCTTTTTCTTTTTTTGTTTTTAAAGACATAGTTTCTCTTTATAGTCTGGCTTTCCTGGCATTTGCTCTGTCCTCAAACTCAGAGAACTGCCTGCCTCTGCCTTCTGAGTGCTGGGATCAACGGCATGCACCACCAACACCCAGCTTCATACCCTGTTCCTTTTTTTTTCCTTTTTTCTTTTTTTGGTTTTCTGAGACAAGGTTTTTCTATATAACAGTCCTGGCTGTAGACCAGGCTGGCCTCGAACTCACAGAGATCCGCCTGCCTCTGCCTCCCAAGTCCTGGAATTAAAGGCGTGCGCCACCACTGCCTGGCTATCATACCCTGCTCTTAATCATTCCCTTCTCCCAAACTCTTCAGTCTGTGTGTCTCCATAGCCTTGTAAATGCTACATAAATGCAGACACCTGCGGAAGGGAGTGGGCGGGGTCAGCTGTGCTGGGAAGGGCTATGGGGCAGGTAAAAGGACGGACCTGCTTCTGCAGATCTACCCTGTCCTTCTGGGAGGCGGCAAGCTCCTCCCTGTGCCGCTGGGCTGCCTCCTTCAGCTCTTGCTGTGCTCCCCGAAGCTGGTTCTGCAGCATGCCAGTCGTCTCCTACAGAAGAGAAAGGATCAGTGAGTGCAGAAAAGCTTCCACGGGGGCTCGCTCCTGAAAGATGTGCTGTATATATACTGTGTTTTGTTTCTACGGAGTTGGCAAAGCTGAACCAGGAACTGGCAATGCATATCATTTACCCTGCTCTATTCTTTTTTTTTTTTTGGTTTTTTGATACAGGGTTTCTCTGTGTAGCTTTGCGCCTTTTCCTGGAACTCACTTGGTAGCCCAGGCTGGCCTCGAACTCACAGAGATCCACCTGGCTCTGCCTCCCGAGTGCTGGGATTAAAGGCGTGCGCCACCACTGCCCGGCCCCTGCTCTATTCTTACAGCCTATTCCTCCTCCTTCCACACTACTGCATGGCTCAGCCAACCCTGTGGACAGGCCGAGAGTTTGTGACTGACTCTTACTTAGACACGCTAACAGCCTCCTGAACATACCTCTACTTCCACTTGATTGCATACGCACTCACGCACGCACGCACGCACGCACGCACGCACGCGTGCATGCACATACTTCTACTTGGTCAAGTACTGCATTAAAAGATATCCTAGATATGCATTTAATGCCAGCACTAGGGAGGCAGAGGCAGGTGGAAGCTACATAATAGAACTCTAAAAAAGATATTCTAGGCTGGTATTGTAATTTAGTAGTTGAACATTTGCCTAACATGTACAAATCTCTAGGTTTTATCCCCAGAACCACAAAAAGATAAAAGAGTAAATATTTAAATATGTATATAGAAATATATAAAATGATGTATCACAGGGGCTGGAGAAATGGCCAGTGGTTCAGAGCACTTGGCTCTTACAGAATACCCAAGTTCAATTCCCAACACCCACATGGTGGCTCCTAACTGTCTGTAACTCCAGTTCCAGGGGATCTGACATCTTCTTCTGGCCTCTGCAGGCATGCACATGGCATATATACATATATGCAGGCAAAACACTCATACATATAACAAAAATAAATATTTTAAAAAATTATGTGTTCCCCCCGCTCTTAAAATGCCATTCTCCAGTTTTCCATTGGCCTCAAAACAAAACCCAAGCTCTTATGATGACTAAAAAGGTCTCCTTTCATCCTCTCCCCTGAGTTTATCACACTAGAGCCATGCACCTCTTTTTGTCTTGAATTTCCCAAGCCTCTCTCTGTCTGTTACAGGTCCCTACGCATGTGTCCTTCAAAAGCTACCCTTGGTGGGTAAAGGTGCTGCTGCCAAGTGCAATAATCTGAGGTCAATTCCAGGGTCCTACATGGTGGAAGGAAAGAACCAACTCCCACAAGTTGAATTCCATATGCATGTCATGCCATGTGCACATGCATGTACACACACACACACACACACACACACAGAATAAATAAATAAAACAATAAAAAACTGCCTCCTAGCATTCATGTGCTGTGGAATAATACTTCTGTACATTGTAAATATGTATTGCTTTCATTGTTAATAAAAAGCTGACTGGCTAGTAGCTAGACAGGAAGTATAGGCAGGACAGCCAGACACAGAGGAGGCTGGGAACAAGAAGGGCAGAGTCAGGGAGTCACCAGCCAGCCACTGAGGAAGCAGGACATGTAGAAAATGAGATAACAACCCATGAGCCAGGTGGCAAAGCATGGATAAGAAATATGGGTTACTTCAAATGTAAGAGTTAGGTAGTAGCCAGCCTGAGCTATTGGACAAGCATTTATAATTCATATTAAGTCTCTGTATCAGTTATTTGGGAGCAGGTGATTGGGAAGCCCTGAGGTTCAATCCTTAACAATACATAAAACTGGGTGTTGTGGTCCACACCTGCAATCCCTGCATTTAGGAGAAGGCAGAAGGATCAGACCCAGGAACACCCTCCATACCTGCTCCTGTAACTTCTGAATCTTCATGTCCTGCCTCAGCCTTTCCAGCTGCTGACTGGCATCTGCCAGCTCCTTCTGGGTCTGCAACAGCGTCTCGAGGAGGGACACTCTCTCCTTCTCCGTTTCTAGTTGCATCTGTGGAAAGGCAGGAAGGGCTTCATGGCTCTGGAGTATCATGTTCACCGGGGAGGCCATAAGCATATCACACCTGCTCCAAGTTCTTCCTCAAGGATGAAGGCTGAGAGCAAAGGAAAGTCTAAGACCATTAACTTAGAACCAGGAAGTGCAAAGATTGCCACTGGTTTGCAAGCTGACAGGATGTGGTAAGTGCTGGCCCTCCCTCAGGAAGTATGACATACTGCCTCCTTGCCGCTAACTGCATATTAGCTCACTCCCGAGCAGCAAGGTGGTAGCTACCCTCTCTTCAGGAAGCCCCACTGGAGCCCTGCGGTGGAATGGGGAAGCGGTAAGACTGGGCACTCAAAGATGGCGAGGTTCTGGTACTCCAAGCTGCTTACGCGGTACAGGGTGCTGTCGGCCTCGGCTCGCTCCTCATCCCTCTGTGCGCGGATGGCTTTAGTTTCTGTCTCTTGCTCTCTCAGCCTCGCTTCCAGCTCCGTTCTCTCCCTTTCTAGGGCTTCCAGGGTCTTATCCAGCTCCTGCTGAAGCAAGGAGCGCTCTTTCTCCTGACCATGTGAAGGAAACCACGCTGTTAGAACCAGTGGATGAGCAGAAGAGTCAGGAGAGCTGGTCTGGAGTTTGAATCTCCCCGCTGCCTCACTGTGACTTGGGCACTGCTCTCAGCCTGGTGATCATTTCTGATGGGAGGCTTAACAATCCCTGCCTTATCTGTCTCACTAAAACTTAAGAGTCAAGTGAGATTTTTTTTTTTAATGATATATAGGCCAGACAGTGGTGGCCCACACCTTTAATCTCAGCACTCGGAAGGCAGCATCAGTCGGATCTCTGTAAATTTGAGGCCAGCCTGGTCTACAAAGTGAGTTCTAGGATAGCCAAGGGTTGTTACACAGAGAAACCCATTAAAAAAAAAACCTAACTAAATAAATAAAATAAAAAATTTAAAAAGATGTATAACCTGGGCATGGTGGTGCATGCCTTTAATCCCAGCAGCTGGGAGGCAGAAGCAGGTAGATCCTTAGGAGTTTGAGGCCAGTCTGGTCTATACAGTGAGCTCCAAGACAGCTTGGTCTACAAAGAGAGACCCTGTTTCAAAAACAAAACAAACGAACCAAACAAACAAAAAAACATGCAAATGTGCTTTCTAACCCCCATATAATTTACAACTGTTATTTTTAAAGCCACATCATGGTTGAACTGAGCCAGCCAACCCTGCCTCCTGCTGACAACGGTCCTCTGCTCAGATGGACAAACAGAAAGTCACTAGAAGACAGATCGGCATCAGCAATACAGAAAGTCCGTCCTACTGTGATGGAAGGAAACCAGATGTACAAAGAGCCCGTGTGGCATCCATGCAGGCCTACTGGCATGCACCATCACTTCTGGAAGTCTCTTTGTATTTTGAAAAAGGGTATCTCTTTGTAACACAAGTAGCCTTGAACTCACAAGCCTCCTGCTTCCTGAATGCTGGGATTACAATTGTACTCTGCCATGGCTGCTCCCGGGGTCCATGCTTATGTCTTTATATATACCAAGTAGCAAACACACACACACACACACACACACACACACACACACACACACACACACACAGACATCAAGAGCTTACAGTGATCACACTACACCAAGAACTAGTCTTGGTATTTTTTCATACGCTACCTTATTTAATAGCTAGACGCTGTTCAAGTCTGAGGCCTGCTAGGCCACAAGGAGGTACCCTGCCTCAGAAAACAGAGGCTGAAGTTGAAACAGAGACAGGCATTCTGGGATTGAGGATTATTAAACTGGATTTTATATCCTGGCGATCAAATTTCACCCTTCTAAGCAGAAAAAACTGGACCAGGGGCAGCAGGTGGCAGACTCACTGAAGAGACTCACTGCCTCTCCTAGTCCCCAGCCACACCCGCCACCTACCCATTTCTCTTGGAGCCTGTTCACCTCCTCCTCGTGGGCCACCTTCTGTCGCTCCAGAGCTGCGTGCCCGTCTTGCTCGGCGTGGGCTAGCTGCCTGGCTACTGCATCCCGCTCCTGCTCTGCCCGGCTCCTCTCAGCATCCAGTTCCAGTTTCAGACACTTTACTTCCCCTAGATGCCAGACGAGCACATCTCTGAGCCTCTGCCCCATCCTTTTACCTAATAATAGTCTCCCTGCCCCCCACCCCATGAGCAACTTCCACTCAGAGGCCCTGAGTCTGGCTGAGGAAAGCTTCCCATTGCCCTCTTGGCTGTTAACATCATGTGAAATGCAGCATGCCCCCTCCTGCGGGCTCTCACCTTGAATTACTTCCTTGGCTTGAGTGACAGTTTGAATCTGGATCTCCAGCTGCCCCTTGGTGACCTCTATCACAGAATTTTGCTGTTGGGCCTCAAAGAGATTGCTCTCCAGCTGTTCCTTGGCTGACCTGAGGTTTAGGAATCAGCAAAAGTTCTTTCTACTCCATCAAGCCCCTTACCCTTTCTTAAGAGGGACTGGGGAAGTACAGGCTACACAGAGAAGTTATGGGGCAACTGCATGTCTACAGCTCATTTAGAATTCTTGCATGTAGAACAGGGAGCTTAGCTTAGCCTTGCAAAGCTCTCTGTGCTTGGCTGAGCTAAGTGTGGAGCCTACCTGAGCCCCAGGACTTGTTCAGTGAGGTCCTGTCGGTCCCGCTCCACAGCTTGCAGGCGCACCCCGAGAGCTGCCCTCTCCCGGACGAGGGCCTCCTTCTCCAGGACTGCTCTAGCAAGTGTCTCTTCCTGTCGCTCTGCATCCTGACGCAGCTGCTCCAGCTGAGCTGTAGCTGCTGCTTGCTGGTGATGTGCCTGAGGAAAAGAAACGGATGGGATACACAGTGAGGCAGGATCCCAGGGCGGCTGTCAGCAAGCCAGGGGCCAAGGGGCTTCGGAGACTCTGGACCCAGCACCGAACACTGCTGACTCAGGAATAACTGGCATTTATTTATTTATTTATTTATTTGATCAATCAGGAGGCCCCAGGTCAGAAAGGATGCTCTCCTATGGGTGAGAGACTCTGTGCTTCGGATAGCAGGACCCACATATACACCAAGAAGGTGACTAACGCCTGAGAAGGGATTCTGTTCAAGTATTAGGGCAATGAGAGGTTTGGTAGGGAAAGCATGGATTACCCTTCATTGTGAGCTTGGTGCTTTAGAATCACCTAGGAGACACACCTAGGTGTGGAGGAGGAAAACCATCTGAATATGGATGGCACCATCCCATGGACTGGAGTCTCAGAATCAATTAAAAGGGCAACAGGAGAAGGCCCAGCAGAACACTTAATTCCCCTTTCTCTGCCTCCTGGTAGCTAAGATGCAGGCAAGCCGCTGCCATAAACCTGGCCACCACATAGACATCTGCTGCCATGCTTTCCCACGATGATGGGACATGTCCCCTCAAACTGTGAGTCAAAAAACAGCCACACCATCTCAAATACAAACAAACAAACAAACAAACAAACAGAAAGACAGACAGACATGGCCTTAGCTGGACATGGTATCTAATAATCTCAGCACTCAGGAGGCAGAGGCAGGTGGGACACTCAAGTTTAAAGTCTATATAGTGAATTCCGGCCAGCCAGGGCCACAGAGTTAAGACTGTTTCAAAAGACCAAAATAAATAAGTAAACGACATAGGCTGGCCTTTAAGGATATCAAACAAATAAGAATAGCATAAGAACTGTAGATGTTTGAACTAAGCATGAACTAGCAGAGAATACAGAGGAAATCCTGTAGGAGTGGGGCGGGGGGAGTCAGTGACAGACTTTGACAGAAATTCCTTAAAGCAATGGGGAGACACCTCCCTCACACTGAGTCACTCTGAAGTAGGACCTTGGCATTCTAGTCCTCTGCTTACAGGAGCGTGGATCACACTGTGACAGGAGGGGAGCTGTCTCTCACCTCACTTAGTTTCTCTTTAAGTTCTTCCTTTTCTTCTCGGACACTCTGCAGTTCTGCCTGGAGCTCAGCCCCCGTCTCCTCTGCCTTCTGCAGCTGAGTCTGCAGCTGAGTTTTCTTCTCCCACAGGGCTTCCCTGCGCCTCTCTGCCTCTCCCAGGTCCGCCTGCAGAGCACTTCTCAAGTGCTCGGCCGCCTCCACTCGGCTGCACACAGACTGGTTCTCCTGCTCCAACTACTGGCCAGAAAGAAGGGAGCGCAAGGCATCAAAGGCAAAGGGTGTGGCTCCCTGTGCCCGGAGCCCACCCTACAGCTGAACATGGGAGTGCTTTGAAGAGATGGGGAGACCCATTCATTTGATTGGGTGTTTATATCCTAGACGGGCCTGATGCTGGGATAGAGATAAAAAAGGCAAAAATCTCGCTTTCAGAGGATTCAGAATAATACCAGGTGGTGGTGCAAGCCTGTGATCCCAGCACTTGGGAAGCGATGGAGGATCACAGCCTTGGTAGCATGAAACACTGTCTCAAAAACAAACCAAACCAAACACCCAATCATGACATTTCTGGGTCTCAGGGGAACGGGAAGCAAGCAGTTTTCCCCACTAAAACGACAGGTTAAATTTTTAACCAACAGAGGTGATTTTGGGGGCACTTGGGCCATTCAATAGATCTGCCTCACTCAGTAAGGATTAAACACCTAGGCTTGCTTCCAGGGACACGGACCCTTCCCTAGTCCTGATAATTTATCCACAGCTCAGAGGTTCTGCTGGAGGTCCAGAGAAGGGATCTACAGTGCGTAAGTCCATCCCTTGGCTCTCTGCACAGTCAATGTCCCTCTTGCTCACTTCAGCTACACTTGGGAGCTGACCTGCCTTTGCCCAGTCCACTGAGGACTCTCCCCCTACTCAGGCATCAGCTTTGTCCGCTAATGGCTAATCCTCAGATAAGGCCCAGCCCCTCCTGAGAATCAACTCTTCGCTCACCTGGAGGAGCTGCTGGTTCAGCCCAACTTTATCTAAAGCCAAAGCCTCGTTTAAGGCCCCAAGCTTGACAGCTGCAGCTCTAAGATCAGCTACCTCGGCCTTCAGGCTGTTCTCGGAAGCTGACAGCTCTGCAATGGATTGTTCTGCCTAAAAACAAAAGGGTTAGTTTCCTGCTTTGAGTTTTCATGGACAGTAAACCGTACACACTCCCAATACCTGCTTTTTTTTTTTTTCTGTAAAATATCATTTCATCTCTTCCTTTCCATTCTAAACAAGGTTTTCATTCATTCATTCATTCATTCATTCATGAGAAGGTGTTCACAGAATAGAAACACAGAAAGATGTGCAAACGATGATTGTCATGACAGTATAGAAACTGAGTACAAATGAAAACTAAAGAAGGCATCAATTCAATTTGGGAGAGGAGAAAATGCCTGGGACAGTGGAACAGTGACAGGGAGATGGTTCTTGGGAGTCAAGACGAAAGAAAAGTGTATATAGTGTATTAGTCATGAAGAAGATGACCTGAGAATACAGCGATGCCTGTGTGGCAAGATCAGAGGAGGGAGGATAGCTGGAGTGTGGGTGAGCTTGGGAAGGGGAGAGTTTGAAGCAGATGGCAAAGGGTGTGGAATGGCGTACCAGAGTTGAGAAGGCATTGAATTTTCTTTTTAAAGACGTATATTTTTAAATCATGTGTATATATGTGTCTGTGTCTCTTTTCTTATGAATGAATAAAAGTACAAATATGAGTGCCACGCCCATGAAGTTCAGAAGAGGACATCAGATTCTCCTAGTGTTACAGGCAGTTGTTAGCACCTGATGTGGGTGCTGGAAAGTGAACTCAGGTCCTCTGCAAGAGCTGTGTGCACTCTTTCAACTGCTGAGCCACCTCCAGGCCCCATGGGGCGGCTTGAAGAGATTAACAACCAGATTTATACTTTAGAAAACTCATTGAATCCCAATGTAGAGGGCATGTTGGGAGGGAGAGGAGCCAGAGCAGACTAGCGACTGAAGAGAAAGATAGGAAGATTTGAAGTCTGAAGGGTGAAGAATGAGCCACCAAGCCCCTTTCCTGGGAAGACAACTTCCAAGTGAGAAGGCCACATACCCTGGCCAAGGCTGCTGTCACTTCCACTTGCTCTTGCCTCAGTAGCTCCCCTTCTAGGCGACTTGACTCCAGGGCTTCCCGAAGAGTGATCAGCTCACTTCGTGATTCTGACTGTTTGGCTTCCAGGCTTGCCAGCGTCTCCTGACTAAGAAGGGAAGGAGAGGGAGCTAGAGGAAGTGTTTGGGACAGGAATCTAATTATTTTTTCTATTTTAAAAATGTGGAATTAGTTACTAAAAACTAATAAGGAAAGCTCTCTAAGAGCAAGTGAAAAAAACAAGGTGCATTAACAGTATGTTAGTGTACTGCCTTTCATGCAAAAAACATGGGAGAAAGCAGAGACTCTGCATGAAGTGGACTGCAAAAGTAAACACGGAATAACTGAAATGGTTACCAACGGAAGGAAGGACGAAGGAGCGAGCAAAGATGGGCGACACTGCCCTGTGTGCGTCTTTTTAAGTAGGTGGTTTCCCCTGTTTGTTTTGTTTATTGTGACAGGGTCTTGCTCTGCAGCCCAAGCTGGCTTTGAACTCACAGCAATCTTCTTGCCTCAGTCTCCCAAGTGTTGAGATTACAGGTGTGAGCCAATATACCCTGGTATCTTTTTCAACAGCTTTGGCTTTCGACTTGTCTAACTATATTATCGAGTCAGACAGATTACATTTTAAACACACACGTATCTGTGTGGACTGTCTGCTGTGCTCTCAGTGCAGGACATGGGCATGGCTCTACCCTCTGGCAGACCTTCAAGCTTCCTCAAGCTTCCACTGTTTACTAGGCACGAGGAATAAGGCACAGAGGAGGGGCTATACCAACGGAATAATGCTGTCAAGGCTCTGCAGGCATTAACAAGTGAGCACCTGGCCAGCCAGGACTACAGAGAGACCCCGTCTCAAACAAACAAACAATGAATTGCACTTATTTGTGTGTAGGGAGGAAACCACAGTACACATGGAAGTCAGAGAACAACCATGGGAGTCAGGGGATTGAACTCACATTGAGCCATCCTGACAGCCCTATGCTAGGATTTTATGAAGTACTGCTCCATCTTTCCAATAACTCTTCAAATAACATCTCCATTTTGCCAAGAGACTAATCCATTCTGGTGGCAAAGCCAAGATCTGCACTCAGCCTTTGTCCTGCTCTACCGTTCCTTTCTGCAGCACTACCTGGTGGAATTTACAGGTTAGCTTGGGGGCACTGACCTGGATTCCCTTCCTGACCAGTCCATTTCCTATCACGTCCCAGTGGCCTTATCTCCTCACAGCCAGCTAACTCTGAACATGCCTCAAAACTCCTGCTTCCTTTTCTTTGCTATTCTGTCCCCTGGGCCCTTCTTCCCACAAGTTAAACTAGGTCAAGGCCCCGCTCAGAGTCCACCCCTCCTCCTTAGAGTTGCCCCTGCTTCTCAGTAGTTAACTGTTGCTCATGTGCTTCCAAAACACCAAGCTTGAGCTCTAGTGAAGCCATGTTTCTTCTAGCTTCGTGTCCAGTTATTTGCTTGTCTCATTGGATTTCAAGCTCCCGGAGATCATGGTCAGTACCTTGCTCATTGTTGTAGCCCTCACAGTGCCCCCATGTCCCTCTAGGGACTCAACAGTGTCTAGATGAGTCTTCTGAACTCATCCTTCTACAAAGGAAGCAGCAGAAAGCTAACGCGAACCACTGCAGGCTTTAGGCATTCTACTGCCGAGGAGAGGAACGGGGTCAGGGAGGTGTGGCGCTGAGGGAAGGCCGGGCCCTGGGGAGGAGAGGCCTGGTCGCACTTACAGCCGCCCCCTCTCACGGACGGCCATGTGCAGCTCCTCCTGCTGCTCCTGCTTCGCCCCCTGAGCCGAGTCCCCCTGCAGCTGCAGCTCCACGTTCACTCTTCGCAGTCGCCACGCTTCCTGCTCCAGCACTTCCAGCCGCTGCTGCAGCTCTCCCCGGGCCTGCTGCAGCAGCTCGCGCTCCCTGAAACACAGATCCGCGGTGAACTGACCTGGGGACCAGAGATCCTGGTGGAACAAGACCGTGTGGAGCAGAAGGCCAGAGAAGCTGGCTTCTTTTCAACATCTCATATATGTGTGTATGTATACATGTGTGTGTGTATATATATATATAACTTTTTTCAGGCTGGAGAGATGGCTCAGAGGTTAAGAACACTGACTGCTCTTCCAGAGGTCCTGAGTTCAATTCCCAGCAACCACATGGTGGCTCACAACCATCTGTAATGGGATCTAGTGCCCTCTTTCTGGCCTGTAGTCATACATGCTGTATACATAATAAATAAATAAATAAATAAATAAATAAATAAATAAATAAATAAATAAATAAATAAATAAATAAGAAAGAAAGAAAAAAACTTTTTTCCAAGCAGAAAACCATTTATTATATGATCTTAAAGACCCCAACCCAAAGGATTTTCCCACAGGAAATAGAATAAAAACCAAAGCAGCCTTAAGCATCCATGGATCCCGGACAACAGGAAGAGTCAATCAACTACAGGACAGTGATGGGTAAGTGGCTAACTGAGGACTAAAACCAGACACTGGAGAACTGAGACTGTAGCTCAGTCCTAAGAGTGCTTTCCTAACAAGGCTAAGGTTCTGGGTTTGATCCCCAGCCCTACAAACCCATAAGTAAAACAAGATACAGAGCAAAACAAACTGTTGAAGGCTTTGCTTTCCTTTAAAAGACCAAAACTAGCTGGGCGGTGGTGGCACACGCCTTTAATCCCAGCACTCGGGAGGCAGAGGCAGGTGGATCTCTGTGAGTTCGAGGCCAGCCTGGGCTACAGAGTGAGTTCCAGGAAAGGTGCAAAGCTACACAGAGAAACCCTGTCTCGAAAAAACCAGACATGGAAGGTAAGGGCAAGCAGCCTGTCCACTCACTTGCTGAGAGAGTCCACCGCTCCCTGAAGGTCCGCCGTCTGCCCGGCCAGAGCGTCCCGCTCCCCCGTGAGTGTGTGCAGCCGTTCCCTCAGGGCTCTGCCCTCCTCCTCCCACTGATCATGCCGCTGCTGCAAGGAGCTCATGGCCTCCTGGCAGCCCGAGAGCTGCTGCCTGAGGTCCTGCGGAAGGAGAGCCACAGAGTGATGTGAAGAGCAAGAAGCCAAAGCCAAAGGAACGGCTCCAAGGCAAGCTGAGAGCCGAAATGTGGCCAAGGGAGATGTCCAGGAATCAGGGGTTATTGGGGTCTATAGCTCTAGAGTCTTGAAGCCATCTTCAGACGTAGTGGCAGAAGGGACAGTCAGGGCCGCTTGGAGCTGGGAACATTTACACTCTGCCAGGACTCTGCTTAGCGACACTCAAAGATACATACATGCAATTGGTGTGGAGGATATACACGCCTGTAAGCCGCAAGCACCGCTGGGCAAACAGAGAAATTCATGTGCAACTGAACACATCCTGACTGGCTAGCTGAAGGGGATACTCCAGCCTAGAGACGTGCCTGGGGGTGCCCATCCTGGGGCTGAGGAGCAGCTCCGGGGCTTCTCACCTGCACAGCCTGCTGTCTCCGAGTCAGCACTGAACGCACCAGGGTAAGAGCCTTGTCTGGGTCCTGGGGATCAAACGGGGAGAAGCCACTACAGTCCAAATGCAATGAGCTCTCCTGGTCTGAGCTTTGGGTCCCAGAGTCCTCTTCTTCCACTGAGGCCTGAAATGCAACCCTGTGTCACCGAGAGACTTGCACTAGAGTGAAGAACCTGAAGGACTCCTTCACAGGTCCTACCCCTAGGGCAGGGACAGGGACGGCAACCTGAGAGCAAGACAAGACTGGTCCCTTCAACTCCTCATGTTTGGTCACCCAAGTATAGTCAGCAATGAGGCTAGAACTCTCTCTGGGGCAGTTAAGTGAGGGAAAGGGAAGAAAATGCCACTGCGATGACAAAGACGGAATTCAGCCTATGGCCTGAGAACCTCAGCAAGCAACACGACAGGGCGGCTGCCCACTCCAGTGCCGGGACGTGATGCTTACCTACACTCTGGGGTCCCGATCTTCACGTGCACCGAGAGAACCTATCCTTACATGACCCTCAGGCCAACCTCAGCCTAGAAATCAAGGCCCTGAGAGGAGCCAGAGAGGAGGGGCCTGTCGTTACAGGACGGGAGCTCACCAGTGCCTGGGTTATGTCCTTGAGCACATGCTGCAAGGTCAACCTCTCCTCTTGGGCAGTCCTGCTCAGAGATGCCTCCTGTTCCATTAACTCTGCGTGGTTGGTCTCCTGGTAAGGGACAGAACAGGGCCTAAGCACCAAACTCTCCAAAGAGAATTCAGCGTTCTTGTCCCCAAATCAATCAAAGACATATTCTACTCTGTCGACCATCCTGTCCCAAGGAGTCTGGAACAATGTAACATGGCAACAAAAGGCTCAGAATAGATGATTAAAAACCGAAATGACTGCCCCGTTCTATCAGCAGTGAAAACTACGGCAGCCTCGGAAAACCAGAACTCTTTGCAATCCAACATCACTCATTTTAAGTCACTTGAGCCCTGTGGATGTCTGCATTGGCAAATTCCTGACAAAAGGGAATTAAAGGGGCACAAGTCTGCTTTCTAGTGGACTCCAACCTAGATGAGAGTAGGGTGCACTTGTGGATAGGGGTTCAGCAGTTACCAGAAGTCAATGACCGAAAACAGAATCAAGCCAGGGGTTCTGCCATCCCATCTTGGAGAGTCACTTCTGTGACATCCCTGACAGATGTTTAAGTCAGTGAGCACAGCTGGATTCTTTCATAAGACACACGCTGTTCAAGTGATCGCTCCAGCTTGAGTCAAAACCCACTACCTCATCTAGAACTTCTACCACTGCGGACAGCTCTACCCTGGCAGACATTAAACCGGCCAACTCGCTTTTCCCCATCAACTCTACTTTCGGAGATGTGAGGGCAGCCAGCCTCTCCTCCTCACATCCTTTCTTCTCCAGACTAAGCACTGCTGTACTTCTCAGCTGTCTCCCCAGAACCTTCCCGACACCTTGCTCAATCCCGCCCCTTTAGCTTTCCTTAGGGTCTCACGTAGCTCACACTGGCCTCAAAGTCACCCTCTCAGACAAGGCCACATCTCATATATGTCATTGTAATGTCCCCAGGAGTTCAGTCAGGGTAGTGGACAGTTATTATTATTATTTTATTGACCAGGTAAATGAACGAGTTAACTAATTTTCAGATTCAGCGAAAGTTTACTTTTCAGCTTTGGAGGATTTCATCAAGGACCATTTAACTGGTTCCATTCACTACTTGTCCATGAACAAGGAACCTGTTAACCCACTCCGGGTTCCTCTGTAACACAGAGGGTCACATACCAGGATCTCCACTGTTTCCCTTAGAGCCTTTACCATCTTTTCATAGTCTTCATTTTGCTTCTGAGACTGGGTCAGCAAAGCAGAGAGCTCTGTCACTCTAAGGAAAAAAGCACAGCACTGTCTCCTGGATAGCCCGAGGACATGGACAGAGCCACACAACAGCACACCTCAGCCCCCACATGGACACCCCACTGCAGCTCCCAGAATCCCTTGGGTATGCCCAGTCCTTCGCACTCCCTGAATAACATGTGAGTCTATCGTCTTGATCTGGAGGGGAAAGCCAAAGCCACTCAGACACATGCAGGATTTACCACATCTCAAGACCGGAACGCGGGTCTGTGGGCCCGAGAGCTGGAGGAAAGCCCTGGCCCAGGCCCTTCCAGGCCTCGCTTGATTGTGAAGTCAAGCACCCTGAAGCCAATAAGAACATCAGAATTGCCACCACAGGGGACAGTCCCAAGGTCCCTCCAGCCCAAAGTTTTGACTCTGATAGGGAAAAAGGACAGATGACTTGGGAGACAATACAGCTAACGATGTCCAGCAAAAAGCCCAACAGCTATATCATTTAACAGCACATCTCGGAGCTTTGTGGGTAGTATTACAAGCATGGCTTTCTTTCCTCTTTCGTTATTTAGGGGCAGCATCTGAGTATGTAGCCAGTCTTGCCTGAAATTCTCTATGTAGTCCAGGATGACCTTGAACTAGAAATCCTCTGCCTCAGCCTCCTGAGTACTAGGATCATAGGCATGAGCCATGACACCTGACTAACAAGTATTTCTTAAATTAATGTTACCTAGGAGTCTTTATTTATTTATTTATTTATTCATTCACTCACTTATTTATTCATTTTTGAGGCCAGCTCTCACTACATAGTCTTGTCTGGTCTAGAACTTGCTGTGTAGACCAGGATGACCTTGAACTCACAGAGTTCAAGCCTGCTTCTAACTCCAAAGAGCTGGGATTAAAAGTGACAACCACAAGTCAGGCAGTGTTGGCCTTTAATCCCAAGCAGTGGGGAGGCAGAGGTAGGCAGATCTCTGAGTTCAAGGCCAGCCTGGTCTACAGAGTGAGTTCCAGGACAGCCAGGACTACACAGAGAAACACTGTCTTGAAAAAAATAAAATAAAATAACAACAACAAAAGTGATGACTACCACACCTGGCTAAAAGAAAAATTTAAGCCTTAATAATGTTATTATGAATCACCTCTGGGGACCTAGATCACCGTATTGTCTTTTATTTAAATATTGTATCATTCAACAAATAATTATCTGTTATATGAGAGATACAGCACAAAACAATAAACACAAACTTACTAAGATATGATCTTTGTTCTTCATGTTTCCAAACGCAAAAGGAAAACTTATGTATACCACCAATAGGGAAGGACAGAACCCTAGCATGACACACAGACTTTGCCTTGATAGTCAGTGGTACTCTGCCCATGTCTTCCCTTCTTATTATTTTAAAAATCCCATCTTATTATAATCCAGAAGTGAAAACAGCCAAGGTGGGATACAGCTCAATGGCAGAATGTTTGACTAGCATATGTAAGGTCCTGAATTCAATCCCCAGCACAGCAAAAACAAATAAGCCTCCCCCACCACCACCACCACCAGGAGGGAGGGATACAGAGAAACAGAGTAATTAAAGAGATACAGCAAGATTAGTGCTGTAACGTGCAAGTCAATAACTCAGGACTATAAGCTACTGAAGTCAGACAAGTCACAGAAGAGGGGACATGTGAACTCCACCTTAAAGGGCAAGGCAGAGGGAAGGAGGGAGGCATTCCAGGCTAAGGCCAGCACACGAAGACAGAAGTGAGGAAGAGTATGGCTGGGAGGAGACTGCTGCTGACAGAGACCAGCTAGCTACACAAACTATTGGGAAAGAGCCTGAGTTGCAAGGAGCCAGAGGGGCAGTGACAGACCCCACCTGAGACCCTGGGTTCCTAACTGGACTCAGAGGTCATGTTTCCTTTTCCTCTTAGGGTGGAGGTGTTCTTGACATCTTTTCTGCCCACCCACAACTTTCTAGGGGAGTCAGCTTTCTCTCAGTAAGTTCTTCCTGGGACCGCGGGTCACCTCACCGGTCCTGGAGCTCGGCCTTCTCCAGATCCCCCTGACTCCTCAGCTGTATTAATTCCTGGCTCTTTTCGTGGGCTTCCTTCTCCAGCGCCTGCGTCTTAGCCACCAGCAGCAGCAGCTGGGCGGGCTCACTCTCCTCCGATCTCCCAGATCCAGTGGATTCACGAGACTGGGCTCTCACGGTCAGGCGCAGACAACATGTCAGCAGGGACCCCGAGAGCCTGGCGTGCTCAGCCTTCAGCTCTGTCAGGTCTCTGAATACAGGAAGGAAGATGGAAGACTCTAAGGAACCAAGGACGAGAGCTTGGCCATAAGGCCAGGAAGCCTAAGAGGCAGCCTGAGAAGATCTGTATCCAGGAAATCTCCCTCCCAGCCACTATCTGCAGTTCCTCTTCTCCAGACCAGCAGGAGTGAACCTCTCTTCTCATGCCCATACTGACCTGTCAGTAGCAGACTTCATTTTCAGGAAGTGACGTCGGAAGGTCACCACCTCACGCCACAGACTGAGAAGACGGCCATGTTCGCCTTTCAAATAGCCCTTGAAGAACTGTATTCAGAAAGCCAAGTCATACCTGAGGGCAGGGGACCTTGCAGCAACACAAGAGTCCTGACTCCCCATGGCTGCTGGGTGAGGGTGAAGGAGGAAAGACTTCCAGCAGAGAGCTTACAAATGGGTGTCTATATTCAGGTTATACTGAAGGGTTTAATGAAGTTGGCAGTGAGGTTCAAGAGGCCAAAGGGCCCTGGGCGAAAAGTCGCCTTCCACTTGGCCAGATCTGAAAACCACATGCAGTGGCTGCTTGGCAAATGGGAGTTATTACGGTAGACGGGACAATTGGGTGATCTGTACATGCCCATCACTCAGACCCAGCACCATGCAGAGGTTCAGGAAACATCTGCTGTCTATAGCTGTGACTGGAAATCTTCCAGGGCCCATAACTATGTTTTCTCCTCCATTTAATCCAGCAGCTACCTTCTTGGCATCTAGCTATGCGGACCTCCAGACAAAGGCAAACAGCACATTTTCAGATCCATTTGAAACCAAGGCTAGTCACTTGGGCAGGAGTTGAGCGGTACACCACCTGCCAGCAAAGCCTAGACTAGGCAGGACCAAGAAAAAGCTGAAACAGGGCACAGCTGTCAGCCTGGGCGGGGCTGATCTGAGGCAGGAACAATGACGGATCAGTTTCCACCCTGGTCCACAAGTTAACCCTCTGCAGCACTGCCCAGAACAGCGCCCAGAGTGCACACTCCACTCCTGGTCTTCATACCTCCTGCTCCATCCGCCACTGGCTCTCCTTCCTCATTAACTCGTCCCGGGCCCGACTCCAGTCCACTGTCAGTTTTTCCACATCTTCCTGAAGGGCTTTATTCACCACATCAGCTTTCTCCATGTGCAGCCGAAGCTCCGTGTTCACCTCCACTAGGCTCTCACACCTGTACTGGGAATCGGTAAGAGCAAGTGCAAAATAAAGGTCTGCTCCCACCCTCGGACCTCCTGGGAGAAAGATAGTGAGCAGGACTCGGAGGACTGGAGCCGGCTTGGTCCTCTCCTTCCCTCCCTCTTTTTGCTTTCTGCCTGCCTTCCGTTACCCACATGCCCAGCACTCTCCCCACATGTTCACTCTTGGAACAGAAGTTTCCCATCCGCCCTCTTCCCGACCACTCAGGTCGGAAAGCTGGGGTCCATCACCTCTGCTGCTCCTCCTCCAGCCGGATCAGCAGCTGTTCCAGGTTTGGCTCTTCTACACTTTCCCACCGCTGAGGGACCAGTCCCTTAGGAGACAGAGACAGGCCTTAGAACACTGCACAAAAACAGCACCCAGGACAATTCCCTCATGCCTCCTTCGACAGCAGCCCACTTTCTTTTTTATTCTTTCTCTTGGGAGCAATTTGCTTCTTTTCTTGGTCACTGTCGTGAAAGCAAACCCTTTCTCCAAAAGTGAACCAATCACCTCTCCCAAAAGATGGCATTTAGTTTAGGGGAAACGGCACCGAACCTGGGCAATGCAGGCCGCATCTTTCAGTAGGGCCCTGGCTTCTATCACACTAATCTGGGACTTGAGGAAGTCACCCATCATCTCTAGACCACAAAACGAAGGTGGCTGCCGTCTCCTCAGCCGTCTCCTCAGAGAGTATGCAAAGTAAGAGACATAGAGTACAAACGCCTAGTGGTACCCTGGTCTGCACAGAAGGTGCTCAACACTTTCTGCTTCTTCCCTCTGAGAACTTCTCTGAGGGAAGGAGGAGGTGCTAAGGGAGCTGGAACAAAGAAAGACAAAAGGGTCTTTCAAAGCCCGCCCTACCCAGGCAACAAATACAGCCCTCTACTGCAGCCATGCTCGGGGGCATGCAGAGCTGCACATCTTCCTGACGTATAAACACTGACACCTGCTGGACGAGAAATGAATTTCCCCTCCAATTCCACATGCCCATTCTACTACTCCAAGTGCCCAGAAACTGCGTTTATAAACGGAAAACCATGGGGTGGAATCCCTCAGGTCAAGGATCTCTAGAAGACCTTACTGGTAGCTCTTTGGAGCTGAAGACAGAGGAGCTCCTACTGAACACCCTGTATGAGCCCAGCCCTCCTTGACGCCATATAAAGCCAAGCAAGTATATCTGAAGGGCTCAGAAGTCCAGAACTCAATCTCACGTACTCCGGTGGCTTCTAAGCGCTTCTCCAGCTCCTGGCACCAGCTCCGGTACTGTAAAACCTAAAGCAAAGAGAGCAGGCCCTGAGCATAGCTCCGCTTGCCTGAACAACACAACCAAAGGCTCCAGGGATCTGGGGAAATCTGCTGTGAACATGGGAAGCGGTGCTGATGGGGAAGTAAGGCCACAGCATCCTAAGAGCGGCTCCATAGGAAAGCACTTGCTGTGCAAGCATTGGGACCCAAATCCAGACCCCAGAACCCAAGGACAGCCAGACAGGTAGTGTGTGCCTGCAGTCCAGCACTCCTACAGACAGACAGACAGGAGGCAGACAGGAGCATCCCCAAAGCTCACTGCTACTTCACCTGAGGCATACGGTGGCAAACAAAAGGAGACCCTATCTCAAAACACACACACACACATACACACACACACACACACACACACACACACACACACACACACACACACCAAACAAACAAAAAACCAATGTGGTGGAGGCTGAAGACAGAGATCGGTGCTTAAAAGGAGGACCCAAATTTGGTTCCTAGCACCCAGCACCCAGCAAGGCTCACAACTGTCTGTAACTCCAGCTGCCCTCTGAGGGCACCAACACACATGGTACACAGTTACACAGACATATACACACAATACACAAGATAAAACTTAAAAAGTAGGGTGGAAAGTGGTAGAAGAGGATACTCAACATTGACCTCTGGTCTCCCTATTCATACTCACAGTTTACATGCATGCGAACGCGCGCACACACACACACACACACACACACACACACGCACACGCACACGCACTCACACATTTTTCTATATCCCCTGTGTATTGGGTTTGAGCTTAGTTCTAGACTAGCAGTTCTCATCCTGTATGTTGAGACCCCTTGAGAGGGTTGAATAACTCTTTCACAGAGGTTGCCTAAGACCATCAGAAAACACAAATATTTATATTATGATTCTTTTTTTTTTTTTTTTTTTTTTGGTTTTTCGAGACAAGGTTTCTCTGTGCAGCTTTGCACCTTTCCTGGAACTCGCTTTGGAGACCAGGCTGGCCTTGAACTCACAGAGATTCACTTGGCTCTGCCTCCCGAGTGCTGGGATTAAAGGCGTGTGCCACCGCCGCCCGGCTACATTATGATTCATAACAGTAGCAAAATTACAGTTATGAAATAGCAACGAAAATAGCTTTATGGTCGGGGGTCATTAAAACATGAGGAACTGTATTAAAGGGCTGCAGCATTAGGAAGGTTGAGAACCACTGTTCTAGACTAAGAGAACAAATCTAGACAACTAATTTAACTATTGTGAATGTCGTATGTGGAGGGAACATAATCCATACTTCGAGGAGCAGTTGTGACCATCGGAGGAGAGGCGATGGTTGAAAGTGGACTATGTGGGCCAGCCTCACCAGGATGTTTGGTCCATCCCCTCCATGGTCTCTCCTCCCCCAGCCCTTATCCTGCTCTAGCACTCAACCGGGGTGGGGTTTCTTCTTCCCTTCCCCAGAGGGGCATCCGCCTCACCTTCGCCTGCAGCTTCCTCACAAGGGTTGCTTGCCTCTTCTGGGCCTCTTGGGAGTTCTTCAGCTTCCGCCAAGAGGCAGCCTGGTTCTCCGCCATCTGCTGCTGCAATGCCAACACCTGCTCCTCCAGCACTAGCTGCAAAGACTGGGGCTTCATGTTCAACCCAGGGCTTCCTGTCTCCATGGGAGCATCAGAGAACAAATCCACAGTTCCTATGTGGCTAGAGGTTGCTTGCAGCAGCGAGTCTACCCATTGATCTCTGTGTCTTAGACCTCCTCTTGAGCTAGGGACCAAAACATACAACAACATTTAAAAGGCTAGGTTTCTCAAATTTACTCAGCAAACATTTATTAAGTGGCGTGAATCTGGCTGAATGAAGTAAATCGGTTCCTTTATTACAGGACTCCTCAGAACTTTCTTTTTTAATGTTTATTTTTATGTGTGTGAGTGTTTTTGCTAGAATGCACGTATATGCATCATGTGTGTGCCTGGTGCCTGAAAAGTCCCAAAAGAACATCAAATACTCAGGAAGTGGAATTACAGATGGTTGTGAGCTACCATGTGGTTGCTGGGAACTGAACCTGTGTCCTCTGCAAGAACAGTAAATGGCCTTAACCAATGACCATCTCTCCAGTCCCCTCTTTAGAGCTTTGAAAAGACCAGAATGGACCCTAACCTCAAAAAGGAGCTATGATGAGCACGCCACAGGGCTCCTGCTTCCAGGCGTGCCTTTGGGAGTCTGCACTAAACTAAGAACCCCTGCTGTGCCATGCACCGCTCTGCCTGGGACATGACTCAGCAACCTGTGG